ATCAGCCGCGGTTTCCGTAACAAAAGGCCCGCCACTGGCTGCTGCGCGGCGGCGATCCACGAGCACATCTGCTATGCTAATCAACCGCCCACCGTGGTTTCTCCCTTCGTTCGTGGCTGCGCCCCCCTGCTTGCCTTGCCGATCCGTGTGTGGGGGTGCGTTTAACCGTGGTGGCTGGATAGCCCCCGCCGTGACCATGTAATCTCAACTCAGGTCGCAGCGCCGCGGTGCGAATTAGCATCGGGGGAGATCGCCCAATTCCCTGGCCGCAGGAAACCGTGAAGATTATCCCTATCAGGGCTTCCGGGTGAAAACCTGTTGGCCAGGTGACCTCCCCTCGGAGCTCTATGGGGGGGAAATGTGTGAGGGTGTGTTTATGTGGGGGGCGGTGAGGGGGAAGCGGGGTCAGCCCCGTCACTTGGTGGTGGCGAGGTCGTAGATGGGGCGCCCGCCGAGCGGCTTCGCGGCGGCGGCATCACACATCCCCAGCGTTTAACAGTGCTGCTATATTTTGGTTTTGGATGCCAACATCGGCCGTAATTCTTGCGAAGGTGCTTAACCTGTACCTTCCTTTCTAGCCCCGCCCACCTCCCCCCCACCCTCCCAGTCCCTGACTGACACATTTAGATAAGCTCTTCCCCCCTCCCCTTAACCAGTATATAAGATATTGTCTCTTGGATTTCCCTTAATTTGATACAGTACATTTGGCTGTAACGGTCCCACCTGAAGACGGAGACTTGTGTTGCCTCTGAAACGTCGTAACTTAATGTAGTTATTTTCATTTTTTTTTATTATTATTTTATTATTCTTTTTTTACCTACGTGACTTTACCGAATAAACCTAAGAGTATAAGATCATCACTAGTTCGAATTATCGAACCAATCAAACGACTCTCCCTGAAACCCTCGGCTGCGAGACCTCCCAGATTCTATGGACTTCCAAAGATCCATAAAGAATGTACCCCACTACGGCCCATCGTGTCCACGATCAACTCACCTACCTACAAACTAGCCCGTTTTCTATCGGATACTCTGCTTCCCTTCACTGGCAAGACCACCTCAGCAGTACTCTTAACTCAACTCACTTAGTCTCTCTAGTCAAGGACATTGTACTATCTCCTGATGTCCTCGTCAGCTTTGATGTGGTCTCTCTATTCACCAAGGTTCCAGTGCCTGACACCATAACAATAATTGAAGACTTAGTTCAACATGGACTGAACCCTGATGTCCCTGCGCTGGTTAGGCACTGCCTCACCAACACGTACTTCACCTGGAATGGTACCTTCTACAAACAAAATGAGGGCACCCCTATGGTTTCCCCCTTGTCACCAGTGATAGCCAATGAACCAATTTCTCGACCACATCAACTCCATACACCCATCCATCAAATTCACCATGGAAGTGGAGAAGGATGGCAAGCTACCATTCCTGGATGTTCTGTTTGAGAGGAGGCCCAATGGCTCTTTGGGACATTCTGTCTACAGGAAGCCCAACCACAAATATTCCTACTTGAAGCCTGATTCCCACCACCATCCGGCACAAAAGAATTCCCTCATCAAAACACTATACCATAGGCCCCACTGCATCTCTGACCAACACCACCTGGGCAGTGAATTGGAACATGTACATCTGCCCTCAAGATGAATGGATACTCGGACCGTGCTATCCGCCAAGCTGTTTCTCCCACCGTGGAGAAACAACCCCTTGAGACTCCGATCAAAATCATTACGTTGCCATACATAGCAGGCGTGACCAACAAGATTTCCAAAATCCTAAACAAACACAAGATCCAGGTCCGATTCAGTACAGTACACAAAATCCGTGATCTGATCCCATCGGTAAAGGATGTCATTCCTGACTTACAATACCCTGGTGTGTACAAACTGACTTGCACCTGGGGTGATTGTTATATCGGGGAAACGAAACGACATATTTCTGACCGCATTCGCGAGCACAAGTCGGATTTAAAACACGGTCGGACGAATTCTTCGGCCGTAGCTGACCACTGTTATAACACTGCGGGTTCGCATGACATTGTGTTCTCCGATACCAAGGTACTCTGCCAGCCTCCTGGATACTACCAAAGATTTGTCCATGAAGCCATCCAGATACACAAACATAGACATAACTTCAACCGAGAGGATGGTTTCAAATTCAAGTTAAACGTTAACTGCTTTATAGTTTTACAGTCATATCCATATTTCCATTATTTTACTCCCAGCTTTATACACTACCATCACTCAGAAATTTGACGTACAGTGTTTTAATAGTGCCCAATACTCCCCCCTCCCCCCATAGCATTATGCCCAGAAGCATTATGCCCAGGAGCCCAGGAGCCTCTATAGTATCCGCATCCCAATGCTCGGTCCGCCCTGGCTGCTTCACATTTCTCTTACACTTACCCTTATCCTTATCTTATCTGTTAATCAGCTAATACCCCCCCTCCCCCCGACTCCTTGGCTCCTCCCCCTTCGCTTACCCCATATAATCGCGTGTATCTAAACAGCTCTCTTTATTCACTACAGTGATTTTGCTGTGGCGTGTTCCACCTGAAGACGGAGGCTTGTGTTGCTTCCGAAACGTCGTGATTTAATTGAGTTGTTTTCATTTATTATATTTTTTACCTACGTGACTTTACCGAAAAAACCAAAGCGTATGAATTCTTGCAGTCACGAAAGCTTATAATCTAGAAGAAGCATGTAATGTAGTTAACAGGTATACGTGTACTGTAGATGTAAGCCTAAAAGTAAAGCTGAAAATAAAGAAAAGGGTTAATTGTGATGCAGAAACTCCTAACTTTCTGAGAGTCGTTCTGATAATTAAACTTTCTCGCCAAGAAAGACATCACCTTTGATCTGCTCATTTTCCCTCGATTCGCTACCACTTCATGTGTGACCCCGCAATGAGTCGTGTGACCCCGCAATCAGCCGTGTGACCCCACGGTGAGCCATGTGACCCCACAGTGAGCTGCGTGACCCCATGGTGAGCCGAGTGACCCCGCAATGAGCCGTGTGACCCCGCAATCAATCCGTGTGACCCTACGGTGAGCCATGTGACCCCACAGTGAGCCGTGTGACCCCACGATGAGCCGTGTGACCCCGCGGTGAGCCGTATGACCCCACGGTGAGCCATGTGACCCCGCAATGAACCGTGTGATCCCGCAGTGAGCCGTGTGACCCCGCGGTGAGCCGTGTGACCCCACAGTGAGCCGTCTGACCCTGTGATCGGCTTCCATGGGAGATGAGATTTAGACGGCGTGTGTGCTCTCTTACGGCAATGGAAGGTTGTTCTTATGTGGTTGTCGTCACAGTGATGATGATTATTAAAAACTCGTTATGTTTGTGGTTGTAATGCAGTCTCGGTTATATTTATTTATACTGTGGTCGGGGTTATGATGTGGTTATACTGTGGTTATGGTTACAATGGTTGTGGTTATAATGTGGCTGTTGTAGTTATGTGGATTTTGTGTTTATAATATCGTGGTTATGTTGTGGTTTCAATTGTGGTTATAATGTGCCTCTTGTGGTTATACTGTGGTTATATTCTGGCTGTTGTGGTTATATGCTTGAAGTTATAATGTGGTTCTGGTTCCAATGTGGTGATGGTTATAACTTGGAAGTCCCACCCAAGTGCGTGGGAGTTCTAAACATCTATCACCCCCCCCCCCTCGTCCTTATTGAATCGTCGCGCGGTGCAGCAGTCGTGTACAAGGCGCTATGTGTGCGCACACAGACTCATAATGTCAGCAGCGGTGGTGGTGGTGGATAGATCTAAAGTTAAATCACTTTTGCATACAGCTGCTGCTTTGCGGGATTTGTACGTGTTTAAATAGCAACGCTGAATTAAAAAAATGTGACTATTAATAGCACTCCACCCTTTGGCGTAAGTGTCCTTAAGCCTCAACAGCAGGCTTGCTGCTGGAGTCATCGATGCGTTTGTAACTATCTGGTGTCCATTCCTTATCACAATTATGTAAACTTCAGTGTTCCATAAGTTGATTATAGGGATTTCCACCTATTCCACGATAAACAAAAACCCGAGATATATCTCAGCCGTGGTCTATTATATTATAAAAACTGTGCGGTCTACTGTAATAAATGTTCACATGATGCAAAGTAGCAGATCCGCCGAGCCCAATCAATTCCTGCCACACGAACGCCGATCAATCCAGATTCCGGCATTCTCCGGGTCAAACGTAGACAGGTGGCATCCCGAATTTATTCGCTGAGTTCACCGTTGGAAAATTGTAATATTTAAACACATCTGTGCATAGTTGTGTGAATGTGTGAGTGTCAGAGTTACAGCACGCTGTTATGAGGCTGTTTCTGCGGCCGTGGGACTGTGGTGAGCAGGGGACGTGCTTAGCGGATTGCAAATGAGCCGGTGACATTAATGGCTCCATTATTCACGTGGGAGAGAGTTACATTTGATGATGTTAGAATTTGTCTTATTCTGGGAATCGTGACTCTTGATATAGTTGAGCCCCATCACCTAATCACTGCACATCAACTTTGCTTGACCAGCAAAGCAACTAACGTCACCTACCCAACCTTAGTCTACCACATGGGTCCCTAACTCACAAATTACTCATGATCAAATAAATGCACTGCAGCACGTTGCCTTTATGGGTGTCAAATTATGAACGCCCAATGTTGCGCTAGCATTTGTGGTAGCCAGGTCTCTTCTGAAAAATAGCTACATAGCTCAGTGGGCCTTACTTGGTTAAAATAAATAAAATATAGTTTATAGTTTAGTTCATGTGCTGTGTATCCTTTACGTGCACAACACGCTGGATGCAAAACAACGCAGGCCACCTGGCTTACAGGCACTCAGAAGTGTGATGACCTCTCCTTGCCAACAATTGAGCCCCGTTGCATTGGAAACACAAATTAACATCGCTTGGACATGCATTTTCCATCGTCATGTCACTCTACGCTTGTCTTTCCCCCACATTCCCACCCACCCCTCTAACCCTCCTCCCCCCCAAAAAATATTCCTCAGAAGCAGATGGATCCCGTGATCCCTCCAAGGATACTGCGTGGCAAAATAAACTCCTCAATCAAAGGCGATGGATCTAAAAGTGAATATGGAATCGGTCCAAGCGAAACACAAGCACACATCTTGCGCTCAGCGGTTAAACGAGGAACGATTGCAAGTGATACACAGGCTCCAGTCTTCACCGTGGAACTCAGGAACAAAATGAACCGTGCAACACAAATCCCAACATTGGCCGCAGGAAGAGACGGTATCAAAATGAGTACTAAACCATCCTCTCCTCAAGCTACTGCATTCAATTTCACCTCCAAACCAGTGAAATCTGGAATGCCTCCCAAATTTACGAATGTTTCTGCCAAAGCAAATCTTCACAAAGGCGTAAATGATACCACTCGAGCCTCTGTGTATAAAACACCTCTGAGGGCGTTATTAAACAGCGGAGGCTTTCACGCATTGGCCGCATCTCACCGGTCACCCAAGGCCAATGAATTCGAGGTGGCAGACATAGACACAAAATTCAAAATCTCCAAACACAAAGATGAATACGAGCGCCCCATTATAGCAAACGATCACGGGGCTCACGGCGAGAAGGAATATGCTGGCAAATCTAATCAAAAGGCAACGTCTCGGAGCGACGCTCGCCCTTTGGCAGCGGCTTCGCGCGTGCCGGTGCTTGGAGGTGGCGGCAGGGGGCGCCAGCGCTCCGCTGAGCGGCCGCTCCACGCGGATCGCGAGAGCAGCCAGGGCCCCAGCCACGACCCGACGCTGCACTGGTCCCAGCTCATCTTGGATTTCCTGAAATACCAACGGCGCTTTCGCGGCCGAACCCGCAAAGGGTCGCGGATGGACGGCGGCGGGCGGTTGGGCCGACGCCACGAGGAGCCCGACGGCACAGCGCGCCGGCAGCTCGGCGGCCCGGGCGGCCACGCGGTGGTGTCGCGAGCGTCGCTTCGACGGCGAGAGCACGAGGCGAGCTGGGAGCGCACCGCCTTGCCGAGGCAAGCGTCGAGGGAAATCGGCCGCGTGAATCGCAGGGCGCTGCAGGAGGACCGGAAAGCGCGCAAGAAAGGTCGGGAGGCCAGAAAGGGGCGAAACGGTTGCTTTGGGTTGAAGATCGACCGCATCGGAACGTCGACACGACTCGGATGCTAAGTCCATGCGGCACGTTCTCAATATGGTGGATTACATCCCGTTTGGATCCATTTCCGCGTAAACTAATTGGGAAACTCTTAGATGTTTTGTTTTTGTTGCAAGGCTATACTGTATAGGATAAACTAACCATTTACTCTGAAGCATGCAATTAATCTGCCTTGATTGAAGACTCAGAGTTGAGGATCGAAACCTAATTGACTTTTTTTGTAATCATCTACTGAAACTGGATTCAGCAACTAAAGCAACATGACAAAAGCCAAAGTGTCTCTCACGGTGCTTGCCTCGGTGAGCAGCTTTGAGTCAGTGGTGGACATTCCACATTATTGTGGTGGATTCCAATCTGTCCCAGTGACAACCACTGTTCGTGACCATTATTGACATCCCGAAAAACTTAAACTCAAACCCTTTCTTTACATTGTAAGTCGAGCAATCTGGCACAACGCTTTCCGGCCGGAGCAAGCAGAATTAATGCGTGTACATCAGAGTATTTGTGTCTTTTGTGCGTGAAGCGTAACGTAAAAAAAACCACTCTGTTATGATTAATAATCTATTTTTTTGGATCAGATCGCGTGAGGAAAAACAAATGGCAATATTTGCCATGCACCCTCCTCCACCCGATACAGCCAAATAAATGAAGTTGTCATACGAACGAAAGCGTCAATGTTTTTTGTTTAAATTGTGGAAATCGCCTGATGCTGGATGTAAGCTACCGGTGAAACACGTCGCTTCTTGAGTTGCTATGAATTGCTCTTCATCAGCAGCGGAGTGCTGAAGCAGTAATACATCGGCATGTTTGTTCACGTGACAAGTTTAATTATATAGTTGGGTGGAAGGGGGGTATGATGCACATAAGCATCTGACCCACAGAATGGTTAATCATCAGCCACTTGTACCGGTTTCAGTAGGTTTTGTAGTGAGTGCAGTATTTAAACATCACTTTTGTGTGCAGAGAAGTTTATGACATCTGATACTGATGGAAGTCAATTGTTGGTGCACCAAGATAGCTCTATTCTGAACCACGAGCCCCCGACTTCAGAGAATGGAGCGATGCTCTCCCAAGAAGGTGGTCGTGGCCCTGTTTAGCAAAATTAATTCAAGAATGGCGCTCTCCAAGGTTCCCCGAATGGGGTCCTATCTGTGTACCCCGGTGACGTGCGGTGAGGTCAATGGCTGGGGAGGCATTGGCTCGTGTCAGAGCCAGATTCACACACTGATGGGGGCGTGGCCTCACTGAGGGGGCGTGTCTAACACGCCCCCCTCAGTGAGGCAGATGTGATAGCTGCCTCCCCTGGTGCTTTTTCATTGCAGTTTCATGACGAGACCAGCGAGCCTAAATATCTTTATACACATACGTGAAATAAGTTACCTGGCGTATGGAAGGCGAGGACATGAAATGAAGGGGTCTACAAACACTACATTGGTGACATACTGAGATAGTAATAGACACGCACTTATTGCCCGCGCTCCATCCAGTTCCTGAGGGGTTGCGCAATCAGGGGGGAGGCTGAGCTCTTTGCTGCCTCACCTCTCGTCTCTTCCTGTATTTGCAGCGGAGCTCCGCAAATTTGGCGATTTTCACTATCAAAATTATTGGAATCGTACAAAATTTACATTTATAACACAGATCAATGGAAAAATCTTAATATTTATTTTATTTGATTATTATTTTTTTTTACTTTTCGTAACAGCTATTTTCATTGGAGTATAACAGGTGAGCCTCTGCCTCCCCTGCCTCCCCTGCCCGCACGTCCCTGGAGTACCCCGTGCATATCGATTACGGCTCTTTCTGAAGCCTGTACGTGTGACACCATTACCATGCCCGCTGACGTTTCGTGTCATTTTGTGATTTGTTTTAGAAGCGGTAAGACAACGTGAATTTAGCAGCGTTCTGCATTTACGCATGCTTGTGAACTCGGCCTGTTACTGTAGACGTCACTATTGCTTGAGTTGAATGAACAGGCGTTTGTCCCCTGTTGTGTCTAGGTTGTGTGGCAAGCATGCTGCCTCTATTGCTGTATCCATAGGCGAGGGGTGGGGGGGGCAGTGCCGGATCAAGAGTAGCTACATTAGCTACGGGCCCCGCACTTTCAAGAGCCCCGCGCTAAATGCTTTCAAGCGATCAATTCAGTGATTCTGCACTTGCTCTATTACCATAGTACTATGCTGCCTTCAACTGTTATGAAAGACTGGCTGTTTACGGTTAGCGATTTGTCGTATTATCTGGCTGTATAGCAAATGAAAAATACAATTAATTTGCTATGGAAGTAAAAAAACGTGTGTTTTCATATTTATGTGTTTTTTTATTTTAATTTAGGGCCCCTTTATAACATATGCTACAGGCCCCGCACTAGCTTAATCCTGCACTGGGGGGGGGGGGGGGGTGGCATGCGGGGCCCAGGGCAAACCCCACTGTGTGGGCCCCCCGAAGCTTTAAAACTAAACCGGAAGTGTAACATCTGACACTGACTTCGAAACGCGCCCCTCCCCCCCCCATGCGCGGGGCCCAGGGCGGTTGCCCCTGATTCACTCGTACCGTACCCTAGGGACAACTCTGGCTGTTACGTGGACATGGGCTCCTTGCAAGGTTCGTCGTGTGCGTGAGGGTTTAAATGCTGGGGCATTCGAGTCCAGTGAGCGAACAGGTGGGCCGCCACGCAGATCCATTGTGTAGATCAATGAAGTCCTGAGCTTTGCAGAGCCCTTCATTGGATTGGCGTTTCAGGAAGAGCTTCGTGCGTTAAACAAAAAAGAAACGTCGCAGACGCGCTGTGGTTTGTTGGTGATCTCTGCGCACTGTTTCGAGACCTTTGATGTCGTTGCTGTTTGTATTCTACGCGCAGAAAGTCATGCATCGTAAATGTGCTGTGAGAATGGCGAATAAAATGATTATTGTTGTTGCTGCTGTTTCTGATGATGCTGTTTAGAAATAAATGTTTTAAATTACCTATCCTCTCTGCTTAACCACAATTTACATAAAATAAAATAAACATGTAACTAGTACTATGGAAAACAACACACTGAGCTGTCTTAATGTGGATACGTTTGCCATTGTATAACACTTAGACATAACTATTTGATTGAAACTGGGAAGAACCTGATGAGCTATGAAGCTCTTGTGCACAGGTGTCCAGGCCAAACTAGAGTCGGCAATGGTGGAACATTACACTTCGGTCGATACCTATGTATGTATTGTGTGTGTGCCTGCGCTGAGCCAGGCACAAGCTTCATCATTATCAATCCATCAATCTGTATTGTACTTGCCAATATCGCCCTCATTTAAATGGGCATCGGTGCACATTACAGCAGAACTGGAACATTACAGGGGACACAGAGAAACAGAACAGGGGGCACAGAGGAATAGAACAGGAACAGTACAGGGGGCACAGAGGAACAGAACAGGCGCACAGAGTAATAGAACAGGAACAGAACAGGGGGCACAGGGGAAGATAACAGGGGGCACAGAGGAACAGAACAGGGGGCACAGAGGAACAGAACAGGGGTTACAGAGGAATAGAACAGGAACAGTACAGGGGGCACAGAGGAACAGAACAGGGGCACAGAGTAATAGAACAGGAACAGAACAGGGGGCACAGGGGAAGATAACGGGGCACAGAGGAACAGAACAGGGGGCACAGGAACAGAACAGGGGCACAGAGTAATAGAACAGGAAGATAACAGGGGGCACAGAGGAACAGAACAGGGGGCACAGAGGAACAGAACGGTACCGCATCAGAATGCATCAGAACGCAGTTTCGCAATGAGACCGCCGCTAGGCTTGTTTCGCGAACGCAGTCTTTACATTGTGCTGCCATCGTCCGACTTACAAGCAGTGTTACAGTGCGGGTTGTTTCTCAATCACTTTGCATGAAGAGTCTGTGGGTGTATTTGTTTCCCATCCTGTGCATGTGGGTGCACATTCAAAGTAGCCGCATTCAAGGCCAACCTACGCATTGGTTCTTCAATCATATGAACTCGGCAAAAGGGGACAAAAACCAGACGACCTTTGAGCAAAAGGAGACTGACCGTTCTGCTCTTGATGGAGGGTATCGTGAATGGTGATGTCTGCTGTAGTCGTTGGACAGCAGTCCCCGTTCAAAGGGAGTCCGGTTAGATATACACAAAGAGGGCAACGCTCCTAGAGTAAATCTCTTCATGGATAGACGCGAATACATACACCTGTGTCTTCTCGTGAGGAGAGTGATGAGAGTGGTCACGTCCCGTGAGGATGAGGTGTGTGATGAGGAGAGTGATGAGAGTGATGAGAGTGATGAGAGTGGTCACGTCCCGTGAGAGTGAGGAGTGTGATGAGGAGAGTGATGAGAGTGATGAGGAGAGTGATGAGGAGAGTGATGAGAGTGATGAGAGTGGTCACGTCTTGTGAGAGTGAGGAGAGTGATGAGGAGAGTGATGAGGAGAGTGATGAGAGTGGTCACGTCCCGTGAGAGTGAGGAGAGTGATGAGGTGTGTGATGAGAGTGATGAGAGTGATGAGAGTGATGAGAGTGGTCACGTCTTGTGAGAGTGAGGAGAGTGATGAGGAGAGTGATGAGGAGAGTGATGAGAGTGGTCACGTCCCGTGAGAGTGAGGAGAGTGATGAGGTGTGTGATGAGAGTGATGAGAGTGATGAGAGTGGTCACGTCTTGTGAGAGTGAGGAGAGTGATGAGGAGAGTGATGAGGAGAGTGATGAGAGTGATGAGAGTGGTCACGTCTTGTGAGAGTGAGGAGAGTGATGAGGAGAGTGATGAGGAGAGTGATGAGAGTGGTCACGTCCCGTGAGAGTGAGGAGAGTGATGAGGAGAGTGATGAGAGTGATGAGAGTGATGAGAGTGGTCACGTCTTGTGAGAGTGAGGAGAGTGATGAGGAGAGTGATGAGGAGAGTGATGAGAGTGGTCACGTCCCGTGAGAGTGAGGAGAGTGATGAGGTGTGTGATGAGAGTGATGAGAGTGATGAGAGTGGTCACGTCTTGTGAGAGTGAGGAGAGTGATGAGGAGAGTGATGAGGAGAGTGATGAGAGTGATGAGAGTGGTCACGTCTTGTGAGAGTGAGGAGAGTGATGAGGAGAGTGATGAGAGTGATGAGAGTGGTCACGTCTTGTGAGAGTGAGGAGAGTGATGAGGAGAGTGATGAGAGTGGTCACGTCCCGTGAGAGTGAGGAGAGTGATGAGGAGAGTGATGAGAGTGATGAGGAGAGTGATGAGAGTGGTCACGTCCCGTGAGAGTGAGGAGAGTGATGAGGTGTGTGATGAGGAGAGTGATGAGAGTGGTCACGTCTTGTGAGAGTGAGGAGAGTGATGAGGAGAGTGATGAGGAGAGTGATGAGAGTGATGAGAGTGGTCACGTCTTGTGAGAGTGAGGAGAGTGATGAGAGTGATGAGAGTGATGAGAGTGATGAGAGTGGTCACGTCTTGTGAGAGTGAGGAGAGTGATGAGGAGAGTGATGAGGAGAGTGATGAGAGTGATGAGAGTGATGAGAGTGGTCACGTCTTGTGAGAGTGAGGAGAGTGATGAGGAGAGTGATGAGGAGAGTGATGAGAGTGATGAGAGTGGTCACGTCTTGTGAGAGTGAGGAGAGTGATGAGGAGAGTGATGAGGAGAGTGATGAGAGTGATGAGAGTGATGAGAGTGGTCACGTCTTGTGAGAGTGAGGAGAGTGATGAGGAGAGTGATGAGAGTGATGAGAGTGATGAGAGTGGTCACGTCTTGTGAGAGTGAGGAGAGTGATGAGGAGAGTGATGAGGAGAGTGATGAGGAGAGTGATGAGAGTGATGAGAGTGGTCACGTCTTGTGAGAGTGAGGAGAGTGATGAGGAGAGTGATGAGGAGAGTGATGAGAGTGATGAGAGTGATGAGAGTGGTCACGTCTTGTGAGAGTGAGGAGAGTGATGAGGAGAGTGATGAGAGTGATGAGAGTGATGAGAGTGGTCACGTCTTGTGAGAGTGAGGAGAGTGATGAGGAGAGTGATGAGAGTGGTCACGTCCCGTGAGAGTGAGGAGAGTGATGAGGAGAGTGATGAGGAGAGTGATGAGAGTGATGAGAGTGATGAGAGTGGTCACGTCTTGTGAGAGTGAGGAGAGTGATGAGGAGAGTGATGAGGAGAGTGATGAGAGTGATGAGAGTGGTCACGTCTTGTGAGAGTGAGGAGAGTGATGAGGAGAGTGATGAGGAGAGTGATGAGGAGAGTGATGAGAGTGATGAGAGTGATGAGAGTGGTCACGTCTTGTGAGAGTGAGGAGAGTGATGAGGAGAGTGATGAGGAGAGTGATGAGAGTGATGAGAGTGGTCACGTCTTGTGAGAGTGAGGAGAGTGATGAGGAGAGTGGCTGCGCTCTACCGCCCCCTGGCGCCCACCCCTCGCACTCGCCGTGACCCGCGGGACCCGGCGCTCTCTGAGCGGCAGGCAGCGGCAGGAGAATCCCCCCCGCCTCCTGCCCCTCGTGTGGGCGGAGATTGCGAGGTCCACGGCGGCAGCGGCGGGCAGAAGTTGTCCTTTAAAGAGAGGAGGCGGAGGAGTCGGAGGCGGCAGAGCGCACGCGAGGGCGCTGTGAAGCCCCCAGAGAGAGAGAGCGAGAGACGCCACAGCGCTGCGGAGGCCACAGACAGAGAGAGGAGGCGGAGGAGGAGGAGGCGATGCTGCTCCAGGGGAAGGTGGCGCTGGTGAGCGGCGCGGCCCAGGGGCTCGGGAAGGCGTTCACAGAGGCCATCCTCGCCAGGGGAGGGAAGGTGAGTGTGAGGCTGAGGCGACACGCACACACGAGGGCAGACGGGGGAGACGCGGATGGTGGAGATCGTTATAATTCATGGACGGACACAGCGTGGTGGTGGTGGTGGTAGAGGAGTGGTTGGTGGTGGTGGAGACACCGTTCGTGGTGGAGAGACGCAGAGTGATTGAGAGTGGAGGTGAAGACACAGTGGTGGTGGAGACACCGTGCTGCTGGTGGTGGTGAAGACAGTGGTGGTGGAGACACCGTGCTGCTGGTGGTGGTGAAGACAGTGGTGGTGGAGACACCGTGCTGCTGGTGGTGGTGAAGACAGTGGTGGTGGAGACACCGTGCTGCTGGTGGTGGTGAAGACAGTGGTGGTGGAGACACCGTGCTGCTGGTGGTGGTGAAGACAGTGGTGGTGGAGATGTGGGGGTCGCTAGCCCCCGAGATCCCTCCCGCCTGCATCCCCTATTCGTTTACGTTACCCCACCTCCCTATTACCCGCTACGGTTTCGCCGGCATTCGAACGCGACACCCCTACTATTTACAGCCTCGCGCCGCGCTCCCACGCTGCGAGCATACGTGCGCACATCATCGTCAATCAAACGCCGTGCTCGCAGTATAGCCCTGTGCGGCACGTTACCAATGCGCATCCGTATTATACACGTAGTGAACGTGCGCGCATACACGCATACAGCTCCACACGCGATACGCACTCTTGCGCCGCTCTGCGCAGCGCTCGCCGCCTGCTGGCCGCTTACGTTATGAGCGCGCACCTGGGGGACGCCGATTACGCACGCACGCCCACACACACGCCGCTCCGCGCACTCCAACTCAACTCACGTTATACTCGCGCACCTGTATCACACACGGAGTGAACACACGCGACACCCACTCTCGCACCGCTCTGCGCAGCGCTCCCCCGAGGCGAGCCGCAGCACCACAGAATCACTGCGTACCCACGCGCAACCCGCGCGCTCAGCTCCGCGCAGCGCTCACTCACGTGGCGAACCACTGTGCACACAGCGCACCCACACGCTCACACTGCACGACAAGATCACGCGAGACCACGCTTCGCTATTAATGATTTATTACCTGATAACTAATGTTGAATTAGTGAGTCGACGAGGCTGGCCTATTCCACTAAACCGGCACCTATTCCCTATTTATCGGCTATGATTCTAATTCACTTTCTTACTCACTGTTAAGTGTCCACGGCGGTCCGCTGATCCTTGTGTTAACCGCGTGCCTCGGTGCGTCGCACGGACGTCCGGGTCGCTGGCTCGAGCTGCGTCTGGTCGCCTGGCGCTGGAGTAAGAGAGCGATTTCCCCTCTGCGCTCCTCTATTTATCCTCCCTACCTCCAAAGGGGATGCTGCGCTGAACAATGGGCTCGTGCACCCCAAGCCCGCACACGGCAGTCCCCAGGCGCTGTTGATATGCTAATCAGTGAGCGACGTTGGCGGCGTACATCCTAATTACTCCCTTACCCTTCCTAACAATGGGGCCTGCGCGCTCAAGCGCAATTATCCCAACCCCCCATGACTATGCGCAACAGCCCCTGTGACCCCGCTATTCATGCTGTCTCGTGCCTCCCCTGCTTGCCCCGTCGACTCGTGGGGGTGTGTGTGGGGGGAAATGCGCCTCAACCGCGGTGGCCGAATGCCCCACGCCGCGACCACACCATATTAAGGCCGGCAGCAGCGCCGCGGTACCACGTAGCACGGGGGAGGTCATCCAATTCCCTGATCGCCGGAAACCGTGAGAATTAATCCCGATAAGGGTCTCTCGGATAAAAACCGGTCGATCAGGTAACCTTCCCTTCCAGCTCTATGGGGGGGGGGGGGGGTGCGTGCGGGTGTGTGCTTATGTGGGGCGGGTGATGGGGGACAGTGCGGTGGGGGAAGCCGGGCGGCTCCCTGGCTTGGCAGAGCGGCCCCGTCGCTGTGGCACCACATAGCCCCCCGGGGTGCCAGTCCCCGTCCCGGGTTGACTTGAGCACCTCGCCTGGGTTGCCCCCACGAGGTATCGCCGCGGGGTCCGCGGGATTCGCCCGGCCCTTGTGGCTGGCCTCGGGGGTGGCGGCTCCGTCTCCTGGGGCTCCGGCGGTGGTCTCTTCCTCCATTCCAACGGCTCCCCTCGGCCTCTGGCACCTGCGGGCTGGGGAACAAACTCAGAAGCGGTGGGGTTTAAGGGTCGCCGTCCTCGTCGCCCCCGGCCCCGCCCGGGGCCCCTCGGAGCCCGGGGCTCCGTGGGGCCCATATACTGCGCGAGGCCCCCGGGCACGGGGGATGCGGGTACTCCGGGATTTTGGGGCCTTCGGGTGACGGGGTTCTCTCTCGCCGGGGCCGCTTTCCACGGTTTTAAGCGGCGGACATTGACCACCGTCTCTCGACCCCTCTCCCCGCCATCAATTAGTACCGTCCAGGGGGAGATCTGTCGCACCACGGTCCAGGGTCCCCGCCAGTAGGTCGTCAGTTTCCCCACCTGCCCGGCCCCGACGCGAGGGGTGTGTAGCCACACCTTAGCACCTGTCAGGAATAAGGGGGGTTCCATGCGGGGTCGGGTGCCCTGTTCCTGCCGCCGATGCGCGGCTTCCCCTTGCGGGTATGCTCGGCCTCGGGCTTCTCGTAGGGTCTCCAACAGGTGTTCCACGGGGCGGCTTCCCTCCTCCGGCTGGGGGGAAGGGACGCCGAATAGCAGATCTGCGGGTAAACGAGACTCACGGCCGAACATCATTAAAAACGGGGTTTGTCCCGTCGACGTGTGTACGGTGGTGGCGTAGGCGAAAAGGGCGTAGGGGAGGTGTTCATCCCAATCCCGTTGATTTGCGGCCGCCATACGTTTGAGTTTCCCCGATAAGGTCTGATTCATGCGCTCCACCATCCCGTTCGCCTGGGGGTGGTACGCTGTGGTTCGGTCCTTCTGGATTCCGAACTCTCGGCACAGTGCCTGGAACAACTCGGCCTCGAACTCGCTACCCTGGTCGGTGAGGACTCGTTCTGGGATCCCGTGCTTAAGTACGTAGTGTTCCACAAATGCCCGGGCCACCACCAAGGCCGTTTTATCAGGGATGGCCACTGCCACGGGGTAGCGGGTGAAATACTCTACTGCAACTAGGATATATCGGTTGCCTCGATGGGATCGCGGGAATGGCCCCTGTAGGTCGATCCCGACCAGCTGATTCGTGCGGCTGACGCGGAACGGCCTTAGGGGTACCTGGTATCGTGCCGGTTTCGGCCCGCACTGCTGACAGGCGCGGCAGCCCTGTACCCAGGCCGCCACGTCTTGTGCCAATTTGGGCCAGAGATACTGGCGACGCAGGGTCTCTCGAGTACGTCGTTCCCCATCGTGGCCCCCGAGTGGGTGGTCATGCACCAGCCGTAGCAGCTGGGGTCGCACCTGGGCAGGAACACAGATGCACCCCGGCTGGCCGGCCTCGGTTAACTCCCGTACCACTCCGTTCCGCACACACAACCGGGCATACAAACCGCTCCAGGGTCCTGGTAGGGCGCTCTTTTCCTCCCGCAGTGCCGCCTCCACTGCCGCCAGATCCGGATCTCGCTGCTGGGTCTGTCTCAGCTGCTCGTCGTTTAGGCCCGGGAAGGCGCAGCCGACGTCCTCCTGGATCCGTCCAATCGGGTCCCGAGCCGCGGGTCCCGCGCTTGCCGGGCGGTCGACGGGATCCTCAGTGCCACCTGTGAGGGTTTCCGTGGCGCACACTGCACTCTCTCTCGCTGGGGGGGGGTCAGTGGCCGCGGCCTCTCGGGGGTCCGTTGCCTGCCGGCAGCGTCCCCCCGTGAAACACGGGCAGGCTTCCTCCGCCCTCGTCTCGGCGTACACCGTGGGTCGCCTCGACAAGGCGTCCGCGTTTGCATGCGTCCGGCCAGCCCGATACTCGATTTGCAGGTTGTACTCCTGCAACTGCGCCAACCACCGGGCCATCTGCCCCCGCGGCTCCTTGAATGTAAGAAGAAACTGCAGAGCATAATGGTCAGTGCGTACGCGACATCTCCTGCCGTACAAATACGGCCGGAACTGTTTGCATGCGAAAATCACGGCGTACAACTCTTGGCGGGTCACGCAATAGTTCAGCTCGGCCCCACTCAAGGTCCGGCTGGCGTACGCGATGACTCGTTCCGTCCCATCCTGTACCTGTGACAACACCGCGCCCAGCCCGCTGCTGCAGGCGTCGGTGTCCAAAATAAAATCGGTGGTAAAATCGGGGAAAGCGAGGGTGGGGGCGTGGGTGAGGTGGTCTTTGAGAGTGGTGAAGGCCGTCTGGCAGGCCCCCGTCCACTGATAGGGGTGCTTAGGGGAGGTGAGTTGGGTGAGGGGGCGTGCAATCTCGCTGAATCCCTTTACAAATCGACGATAATAGGTGGCGAGCCCCAAAAATGATCTGATCTCCGTCAGATTCCTTGGCCGTGGCCACTCCACTACGGCGCGTACCTTCTCCGGATCGGTGCGCACGCCTGCCTCGCTGACGCGATGCCCGAGGTACCCCACCTCGCGTTGTGCGATGTAACACTTACGTGGCTTGAGCTTGAGATGAGCCGCTCGCAGTCGCTGGAACACCTCTCGAAGCCTGGACCAATGCTCAGACAAAGATCTACTGAACACTATCACATCGTCCAAGTAAATCAGGCACTGTTCCCATTGCAAACCCCGCATCACCAACTCCATCAACCGCTGGAACGTCGCGGGCGCGTTAGTGAGTCCGAACGGCAACACTCGAAACTCAAACAGGCCCATCGGGGTGGTGAATGCTGTTTTTGGCCGATCCTCCTCCGTCATCTCCACCTGCCAGTAACCGGACGCCAGATCGAGGGTGGAAAAATACCGCGCTCCTGCGAGACTGTCGAAGGTGTCGTCGATGCGGGGTATGGGGAAGGCATCGCCGAGCGTGACTGCATTTAGTTTACGGTAATCGACGCAGAACCGGGTTGACCCATCCTTTTTCGTTACTAGTACCACTGGGGCTGACCAGGGGCTCGCCGAGGGCTGAATTATGTTATCG